CGGGCCCGCGCCGCTCTGCTCCCGCTGCGACTCGGCCGTGAGCGTGCCCCGCTGCAGCTCGCGGCCGGCCAGGCCCGGGTGGCAGCACGGGACGCCCTCCCGGTCTGCGGACACGGGGAAGCGCAGACACACGGCAGGAGTGCGTAACCGCGGCGAGGAGGCGCGCTCGGCGGGGTCTCGGAGTGTTGGTCAAGCCCGGCCCCTGGCCCGCCCCACCCCGCCCCGAAGGAGGTTGCGGGACAGAAGCAGAGTCCCCAGGCGGTGGCGTCCTGGAGGAACAGGGTCGCACATTGCGCCCGCCCCTCTAACAAGTCCCGGGCCTTGCGCCCCTCCGACCTCTCTACATTAAGTCCTGACCAGAGCCCGGGGGCGGGGCGGGAAGTGACAGGTTTGTCCTTTGAGACCTTGGGGCAAGAAAAGTCGAGGGTAGAGAGGGAGGCCGCCGAGGCTCGGAATTTACGACTTGCTCCGGAGGGAGCGGGGACGCGATAAGAAGCCTGAGCATTTCGTATCTTCTCAAAGTCCTTTGCTCTCAGGGGGGCTTTGATGTCCAAAGGGGCCGGACGCAAGGGGCCTGAAGACTTCCTGCAAAAGCCCTAGAATGGGCTTCGTTCTGCTCCAAGGAGAACGGGCAAGGGTGGGGGGATCCGGAGGGATAACATCCATGGGGCTTGGCAAATAAATGCCCAGGATTTTGTGACCCTAAGTGTGAGTTCTGGGTTTCTGGAATCAAGAATCCAAAGACCCTGGCAGATGATTAACTGCAAAGACACCCATTTCCAGTTGGAATTCCACAGCCCTTTGAACAAAAGTGGCTTTCCTCTTTTTAGGGAAATTGCACCACCCCCACCCCACCTCCACCCTGCTTATTCCCTTTCTCCGACTGCAGATCCCAAAGAGACCAAGGAGAATAACGTTTTATTGGGAGAAAGCTTCTCGGAATCTCCTAGGCCTAGAGCTGGACCGCCCTGGTGTGATACCTGGGACTTTAAGCCCTCACCCAGGGGGTTCCCTGAGCCCCGGCCAATCATTTTGCTTTGCACTCTAAAAAGAGAGCTAGAATCCTCGGGGCTCGGCAGGACTTCAGATATGGTAAGCTGGGAGCCATGATCTGTAAAATGAGAATAATGTCACCTAACTTGCCCGAGTAGTTGTGAGGATTAGAGACAATTCATTTACCTAAAACACAGCTCCTAATGTCTAGTCAACATCAACAGTCATTATTACTGGATTGAGGTGCTGCAGGAAGTACCTGGCTCTTTGAATGTCAGTAAAGTGGTTATGCACCTCCTGCGCTGGGAGTAGGCGTGAGGCTCTATTGGAAGTGGGGACCATTTAAGAAACCCTTTAATAAATTACAACTCAATAAAGATCAAAAAATACACCCCCTTTAATTATGGCATAATCTCCTCTTTCTGAAACCTTATAGTTTCTGCCCAATACAATGATGGTTGGAATTGCGCTAGCACGGACCAATGTCCTGAGAGGTAGGAACGGGGGACAATATTTCACAGAAGAGAGGATTCTATGAAAGTTCAGAAGGGTTAGGCGACCTGCCCATGGTCACTCAGCTGAGCGCGCCTGGACCCTCGACTCCAAATCGCAGGCGCTTTCATGGCACCGGCTGTCCCTGCAAGATTAAGGGGAGTTCAAAACGCAACTCGTGTCATCGGTCATCCCATCCGTCCACCGTCACCGTCTTTAGAGCCCCTCTCGTGAGCGCCCTACCCTCCGGCGCTGCAAACAGGAGTGTTCCCCCCCCCCCACTCCCCGCGTCCGGCCCCTCCGGGTGGTGCGAGAATCCGGATGTTACCTTCCCCACCCGGGAGAGCGGCCTCAGCCGGGGCTTGGGGGCGGCCGTGCCACGCGGCCGCTTGCCCAGCCTGGGGGAACCCGGCTCGGCCCTGAGGCCAAGCCCACCCGGGATCCCCTCCGCACCTACCCTGTTCTGAGACCCTCAAAGGGCCCCGGCTGCGGAGGAGGGGGGGACGGTGTGTCCTGGGCGGCTCTATGCGCCCCGACACTGCAGGACCGGCCCGCGCCGCCTCGTCGGCCAGTCGGGGCTCCCCTTCCCCCCAGTTTCTTACTCTCGGAGGGAAGCAGGGATTGGTGGGAGGGGTCTGTCCCCTGCGGCTCGGACCGGGGAGCAGGGGGAGGCGGCGGCCGAGCCCCGCACACCGGCCCTGCCTCTCGCCCTTCTCGCCCTTGCGCGTCACTTGTCACTCCCCTTGGGTTTATCTCCCCTCCTGAAAACATCGCCCGGGGTTAATGTTTGCCTAGGACGAGCGTGTGTCCCACCCCGGTGGGGAGCAGAGGGAGGGGAGAAGAGAAAGGAGGCGAGAAGGGCGGAGAGAAGGTAGAGGGAGAGAGGCTAAAAAGAGGAACTGGAATTTACACACGCACACGCGCGCACGCACAGGCACATGCACAGACACACGCACACGCACGCGCACAGGCACACGCACGCACAAACACACGCGCACGCACATGCACAGACGCACGCGCGCACACACACGCACGCACACGCACACACACGCGCACGCACACGCACATGCACAGACGCACGCGCACACACACACGCACGCACACACACGCGCACGCACAGGCACATGCACAGACGCACGCGCACACACACACGCACGCACACGCACATGCACAGACGCACGCACACGCACACATGCACATGCACAGACGCACGCACACACACACGCACACGCGCACACGCACAGAGACACAAGCACGCACACACACCCCTCAGCTGCCTAACAAGGAAAAGGTGCTGTGGGTCAGGTAGGGAATGGCAGGTAGCTCGGAAGAAAAAGAACTTGGCGCTGCCCAGGCCAAGACCTTCTTTGCCCCAAACCTTGAGTACCCCAGGGAATGGCGCAGATCCCATCCACCTGCCTTCTGCAGGAACCCAGCTCCCCCACCAAGGCTGGACCCTGAAGTCACGCCCAGCTGTGGCCAGAAACACCAGTGGGAGGCTGGAGAGTTTGGGCAGGAACTTGCCACCTCCCTGCCTCCAGGCCTGAGGGTCCCCACACCTGGAAGGCCCAAATGCTAGCCAGGCCATTCGAATGTCCCACGGTTCTCTGGGCATCTTGCTGCTGCCCGTTCTTCAATCTTTCCTAAAATTCTGGACTTAACCGCCTGTGCCCTAGGCGCATCATGTCTAGAGATGTGGGTGTGGACGTGTATTACTTGCCGGCACCACACGACATGAATCTTTGCATCTAGAAGGGTTCCTGGCACAGAGAGGATGCTCAGTGTTTCTATAGCAGAAGAACAAGGCAGGCAGTGGCCACTGAAGAACAGGCAATTGCCTGGCGGCCTGGAACAGTCCACCTGCCTCCCTGCGTCTGTACCCACTCGGGTGTTCTCACGCCTGGTACAGTGGACGATCTTTCCCTTCTATGGAAAACCAAACTCTCCATTTGTGTTCTTGAAGCCTGACCCTCTTTGTTTCTCGAAAACTTTGCTTCTGTGATGTCAAACATCCTCCTCCCCCACTGTCTGATCCTCACCCCCACACAGACATGCCTTAGAATCACTCATTTCCAACACAAAATTAAAGCCGTCCCTTGATTCCCTGTTGCCCTCTAGTTTCTCCCTATTTCTCTGCCCCTCCTGACAGCAAAGCACCTGGAAGGAGTTGTCTACTTGCCTCTGCACTTCCTCACCTTCCCTTTCAGGTTCCTGAAATCAAGTTTTCAGCCCCATCCACCAACCAGTCTGCAACACCAAGGTCATAGATGAGGACATCTCATCTGGGCCCAAAGACCAGTGCCCTGGTCATTTCTCACCCTCTGGGGAGGATGTCGCATGGTTGGCCCTCTCTCCTTTTCAAAAGATTATGGTCACTTGTCTTTGCTCTGCCAGATCAATCACGATGAAGTACCCAGCACTCAGCACTCACATCTCTTCCCTTCTCTGCTTACACTGAGGCTCTAAGTCTCACCCAGACCCTTGGTTTTAAATGCCAGCAATTCTTTGGTGACACCCAGATCTAGTTTAGCCCTTAGCTTTCCACAGAGTTTCTTTGTTATGACCCAACTGAGCACCCGACATTTTCCTTTGGATGATTGTTAGACATCTTCAGGGTAACAAGCTCCCTTCCTCCACCCTGTCCTCTCAATTCTAAGTCTTCCTCATGATAGAAAGTGGCACCCCCCCTCCCCAGTTGCTCAGACTAACTCTTCTTTGTTTCTGATTTGCCTCTCCCATCAAATCCATTTTTTAAAAAAATCCTTTTGGCTATAATTCTAAAATCTNGCAATTCTTTGGTGACACCCAGATCTAGTTTAGCCCTTAGCTTTCCACAGAGTTTCTTTGTTATGACCCAACTGAGCACCCGACATTTTCCTTTGGATGATTGTTAGACATCTTCAGGGTAACAAGCTCCCTTCCTCCACCCTGTCCTCTCAATTCTAAGTCTTCCTCATGATAGAAAGTGGCACCCCCCCTCCCCAGTTGCTCAGACTAACTCTTCTTTGTTTCTGATTTGCCTCTCCCATCAAATCCATTTTTTAAAAAAATCCTTTTGGCTATAATTCTAAAATCTGTCTGAGAATCCAGTGACATTTCTCCATGCCTCCTGCCCGATCACAGTCCAGGCAACCTCACCTCTCACTTTTACTCCAGCAGCAGCCCCTCCACCAGACCTCCCTGCGTCTAATGCAGCCCCTATACAGCCATCCTAAGGAAGAAATCCAATGTTTCTCATTGCAAAAGGAGAACCAAATTCCTTATTATACTTAAAAAGCTCTACATGATCTGGCCCTTCCTGCTCTTTTTCCTCACATCTCTCCACTCTTCACTATTCTCTGACCCCCCTTGGTCTTTCTGTGTCCCCCAAATGTCATGTTTGTTCTAGTCTCACATTTATTTTCTTAGAGATGCTGTTGATCTTGGCTACTTCCCTCTCATACTATGGTTTTAAACTTATATTCCACCTCCTAAGAAAGACTTTCTTTATTACATAATTTTCGACAGTGGTATATATTTTATTTTAATAATTTCTAGAATCTGAAATAACTGTATTGATGTTAATCCTGTCTATCTTCACTAAATGTAAACTCATTCCGTTGTCTTGCTCACTGCTCAA